CAGTATAATTGTAATGGTTCCATGACCCAAATTTTTATAATAGAAATTTTTTAAAAACCTGGTAAACTGGAGTCATTGTATATTATATAATGAAATAAAACTATGCATTGTTGATGATAACTTCTACATGTGAAATGTAATATTGAGTACATTTCTATTAAGTGTGGTTAGGGCCAATTTCAATTTATAACAAATAACTTATTTCAATTTTAGTTTTTATTATTAAAATTTAACTATTAAAAAATTAACACTGACAGTAGTTAATAAAATATATTGTTTCGAAATTATTCAGGAGTCTATTTTACTTTGAGAAATATTTCAAGTTTTTTTATAAAAATCTTAATGAATTCTTTTCTTAGATGTACTTTTCAGATTGTAAGAAGATTTTTGTCAATTTCATTTTGTATCTTGTATATACACAAAAAAATTCCTTAAAAATTATTTATTGATTCACTTGTGCCAAAATTTATCCCTTTTTTTTTTAATAATTTATTGTTAAGTATGACAATAAACCTAAAACTTGGAATAAACAAGGAATATTTTCAAAACCATTGTAACTTAATGACTAAGACCTTAGACAAGGAATATTTTCAAAACCATTGTAACTTAATGACTAAGACCTTAGACAAGGAATATTTTCAAAACCATTGTAACTTAATGACTAAGAGCTTAGACAAGGAATATTTTCAAAATCATTGTAACTTAATGACTAAGACCTTAGGAATATTTTCAAAACCATTGTAACTTAATGACTAAGACCTTAGATAAAATATCTATTTTGATGTTATTCAAAATAGAAAAGAGAAATCAATTTCATATATACACTTTCTATAATCTTAATTTTATTACTATATGACTATAATAATTATAAGAAAAAAAGTTGTTAAAAAATTTTCAGTATTTAACATATGTCTCTCTTGTTCCTAGTTCTTAGACAATATTTCAGTAATACAAACATTACAAGTATTGGGTCCAACCCATAGTTTGAGAAATGCTGATCTAGACGACCAGAGTGTTGGACCCTATGGCCAATCCATCATCCAGGAAATGATATATCTAACATTACGTAAAGAAATTGTCCAATGAGGAGATGCACTGTCCTGTTGAAACAACACCTGGCAGAAAATCAATTATCAATTGGACATTCTTTATGCAACTAAAGGTGATTTTTTAGAACATAAATAAATAAACTGTCAGGTGTTTTTATGGAAGCATTTGTACGAAATGGAACCAAACAGCAAATATAAATTTTTTTTTGTTATTTTAGTCACGGAATTTATGACTTATACAACTGTTTTACACACAAATTTGTAAATCTTTGTTAACACACTGAAAGTTTGTTGGTGTCATACCTCAATATCCCCAATGAAAGTGTCTGTGCAGACACTTTGACGTAGCATGATGCATTTCTCCATATGTCTGGGAATATTTCAAGCTGTCCAGAGCAAAAATAAATAAGTTTAGAGATTACATTCTTAATACCATATTTTGACTATTTTATTTAATTTTCTTATGCAGATTGTTTTTTTTTAATTTTTGATATTTTTACTTGATTTGTAAACTATAAAATTTGGAGAAGTGATATAGAAATCAGTACTGCAGCAAACCTGTTGGAGATACGAAAATCCTTGTTAATTCAAACTCAGATAGTTTGAAATTTCATTAATTTGTAATTGTACTATTTGTCCCAGCTGAGGATATAGAGATTTACATGTTAAGGAATTTGGTTAGTTCAAAATATGACTACTTTGAGATTTGAATTGAAAATTCTGTTTGAAATGTGATATGCATATGTTAATTCATACATTTAGATTGAAGTTTATGTGCTTCCATATGGTAAGAGAACAATACACCATGAACAACTCTAAGATGGTCAACATGATTTTGCTTTTCCAGTAACACATTTTCGGATGTTACCTTACCCATTGACTACTATTTTTGTTTATCTCATAAAATAGGCTGGGTTTCAGTGTTCCAAGATGGGCTACAAGTAGTAGAATGAGATATTTTTAGGGCTCTATTCTACTAGATTTGGGTAACTTAGTACTTTTTTGGCTACTTTAAAAATAATTTGGGCTACATTTTGAGAATTATGCTTTACTTTTTATAAAACTTATCTGGCAACCTATGAGGTTCTCACTGGATGTGTGCTGTTTACTAGCAGTTTATTTATATTCATCCGGTTCTGTATAATCTTTTATCTTAATCATTTATTTGTTTAAAAATTTCAACTTGAGCAAAATAATATTTAACTTGAGCTAAATGTTATTTTAGCTCAAGCTTAAATTCATTAGCTCAAGCTGAAATAATATTTAGCTTAAGTTAAATATTATTTTGCTCAAGCTGAAATATCATTTGGCACAAGCTGAAATTTTTAAACAAATAAATGATTAAGATAAAAGATTATACAGAACCGGATGAATACGAAGGTCCTAATCAGAATCCATGAGGAAGCAAATGATGTTGAGAATTTCTTGCAAGAATATAGTATTTCAATATTTATAAATTATATTGATTAATTTTTTCCTATATAAATGGAGANGAGTTTCGGAAAATCGACGCTCTACTGTATTTTATAATAATGCTACTTTTTTTAAAAAAAGATATTTTTTTATTTCTGTTGTTTCCTCTATGTCATGGTATCAAAGAACTGTATTTTTAATATATTGATTGTATATTGTCAAAAAACCTTTTTCAAATAAGGACAAATATAAGTCAGCTTGGGAAAATTCAATGTAGAAACAAAGGTATATTAATAGAAAAAAACTATTAACTGTGCAACGCTCTAAATAAAATCATTTTTCAGAAAATTTATCAATTTCTTCAAAAAACTAGTCAGCCATTAACTGGGGATAATTATCAATGATTCTCAATGGCTCAGACCTTGTTATTAATGCTAATAAAATGTACTTCACTAGCATTGGAAATGTGTAATATCTTCAAACCATTAAACTTCTTTAGCTTCCAGCAAAACATGTAAAATGTAACAATTCACAACCATTTTCAGAATCCACCTGATTCCAGCATCAGGACTACCGAGTTGGTTTTGAATTGGAATGCATTTGTAGAATTCAAATTTGAACAGGCCAGTATAAGACATGCACTGAGCCATACTACATCACCCAGGCTATAACAATGTCTTACTCTATGTCCATCATGCTTTGTATAGCTGTATTCGTACCCTAGAGCTGATATTATTGGCTAGCTTTAAATAATTCAATGGACTCTAAGAGTCTGTGGTCCAAATTTGTGGAGGATCTGATGAACTAGACCTGATTTTAATTTAGCCTCTATATGTTCTTTTGACCTTGATAGGGAGTGATGATTTTCAAGTGCTCTATGTCATAATAATATTGATTTGAAATACATCAGACTCAGCTCATCAGCTCCTCTACAAATTGGGACCACATCAGACTCTTAGAGTCTATTGAAATATTTAAAGCCAGCTGTAACTCCAATTGTATCAACTATAGGGACGGATACAGCTATCCAAAATATGGTGGGAAAAGTGTGAAACATCATTATAATATGAGTGAATCAGTATGGCTCAGTATACATCTTATACTGGCCTTTTCAAATTTAAATTTTATACGTGCATTTAATTTGATTCATTTTAATTTGAAACCAACTCTGTAAACCTGAAGGTGTGGAGTGGGGGTGGATTCCAAAAACAGTTGTAAATTGCTACATTTTACATGTTCAGCTGGAAGCTGAAGAGGTTTAATGGTATGAAGATATTACTGCTAAATTGACATCTCTATTAGTTTCAAGGGATATGGGAGATATGCTAATTAGTAAATTAGTTTATGAAAGCTGTAAAATTATGGTTATGGCTCAAAATAATATATAAAAATTACTTATGATAGTAAAATACATTTTTTTATATTTGATAAATTTACTAGTCAAGTTTATAGATTCTCTATGATTTAATCATTTGACTTCAGCATTAGTCCTTTTAGTAGTTTGTAACACAGACAAGTGATATTCAAGCTTGTATGATTATTATGTTTGCTTTCTTCTAATTCCATCGTACAAGTCATCTAACAAAATCAATATTCAGTACTTGCAAGCAAAAACAGGTTTTGCATGCAAAAAAACATATGAAACATTACATGCTGCCACATATATGTTTGAAAACTGTCTTGGACTTATGGACATTTGAATTAAGTAAAAACAGTCAGTTTTTATATCCTACATGTATTAAATATTATTATATAGTGTATAGATGGATGATTAAATAGTGTCATAATAAATTTATGTTGTCATAAGTTCTTATAAATTATATTTTATTTATTCTAAAAAATATTTTTTAGAATAAATAAAATATGATGTACAAGATTTATTGATGATAATCAAATTTCATTATGACACATTTCAGGAAAAATTAAAAACTTAATTACACTATGTTTGCATGTTTGTTCTAACATTTGTTATAATGAACTGTGCTCTAGCATTCTACAGTCAGTAGTTAATAGTAAAGTGCATTTTACCAAAAGATTGAAGGAGAAGAAAAAATTTATAATTCTGAATATGTTATTGAGGTCTTCTTAGTGTCCACAGGATGGAAAGAATAATTAAAAACAATAAACATCTTACTGGTAAAACTTTCAACTCAGTCAACATGTTCCATATTTGAATCTATAAATTTATGTTAAAGATTCAATTTTAATTACCCTGAAGAACATGATAATACTAATGAAGGATTATTTATAGCTGTTAAAGTAATCTTGCTATAAATTGCAAATTTGTAAAAAATTTATTAATTAATAAAAAGTAGTCATTATGATAGAATTTTGGCCAAGGAGTATGAAGATTGTGATTAAAAAAACAGTTAAAAATACAAAGAAAATCATATGACTGAAAACACAATTTGATTGGTTTGACATCACAAACCTTTAGTGTGTATACTATATTTATTTGTTTCTTTGTTATTATTAAAAAGTTTAGTTTCCATTCAAAATGATGAAAGACTGCTTTAAAAAGGTTCAATCTGACAACCTACTACATTGTTCACGGTTGCAACATTTAATTATTAGGATGGCTCTAGGAAGAATATTGAAAAATTTTAGTATCTGCAAAACAAACTTTCATTTAATATGTAATTCACTTAATTTGGCAGATATTTTAAACAAAAGTAATAAAATTATAAACATCTTGGGTGATATTTTATAAAAATATAGGAATTTAAGATCCTTTTGTTGCTGCAGAAATCCATGGTACCAAGAAAGCATGGAAAGTAGATTAACTGATGCCATTTCTAATTCTCTTATATAAATTTATATCTTTTAAAGTATTGAAAGTTTCATTCTTAATTATTAAAGTATCTAGACAAAAATTTATAAAACTCTCCTAACAAAATATTATTTTTATTAGGA